TTAAAAATTACTTTTCATCTAAAAATCATAAATAAAAATGTCTGTTAAATTCTCTGGACAAACTTGATAAAAAAATGGAATTTTATCTACAGGTTAATCAAAAACTAGATTTTTAAATTTTTTCAAATTTTTTCAGAAAAAGTTGTTTGTATTCAGAAATCAGTCTGAACACAAAAATTACAAAGAAAATTACAAAGTCAATTTTTCTACGCTTATCCTAACTTTTAAACACACTATAGATACAATCACAAATTTTACTACGTGATCACTTCATCAAAAATGACTTTTCATCTAAAAATCAAAAATAAAATTGTCTGTTAAATTCTCTGGACAAACTTGATAAAAAAAATGGAATTTTATCTACAGGTTGTTCAAAAACAAGATTTTTAAATTTTTTCAAATTTTCTATCAGAAAAAGTTGTTTGTAATCAGAAATCAGTCTGAATACAAAAATTATAAAATTATAAATAATTTTTTCTTTCTCAAACACAGAGATAAAATCACAACTTTTACTACGTCAACATTTTATCAAGAAGAAGACTTTTTTTCTAAAAAAATAAATTTTTTATTACAAAAAACTTTTTAAATTTAAAATAAAATTACTTTTCGCTTGAATGGATGGATGAAATGAAACATCCTGTAGACAAAAAACACAATTTTTTATGTCAAATATGTTGTCGAGAATCAAAACTTTTTACTAAGAATTAGTTTTCTTTAAATTTTGGTAATTTTAAGGATAAGAACAAAATTAAAAAACAACCCTATCAAGGACCACCCTAACGAATATCGACCAAAGTTCAAGGCTTTAAAATAAGTAGTTTAAAAGTTAATCCCGGCGCATTCGCCATTTTTGAAACAACATTAAATAAAAAAATTCCATTGTTGTAAGCCTAAAAAAACAATTTTCCTGTGTTATTTTAATTAAATCGTGACTGAAACATTTCAGCATTAAAAGTGTTTTTAATCGAATTTATTAAAGCGACCACACAACTTCCCGAGTTTGCAATGTAGATTTTAAAAAATAGCGAAATACAATATACATATCTAGTTGATATTTGTAGATAGTAAAAAAAACTAGACGACTAGTATTAACGATGTGTAGAAACATGTAAATAACTAACTTTAAGTATAATTGTTTAGGCACTAAGGTCTTATACAGGATGTTCCTTAAAAACGGTAAATAATTTGGTTGACTAAAAAATTATTGAAGTGTGGGAGCATCTTGAAGATCCTTAAAAAAGTGCCTGTGATTACTTTGATTTTACCCTATGTGATATATGAACATGTAGAGCTATTGCTATTTTTAAAGGTGTCACCTTTAAATTAGGATATTCAATGAATATAAACCATTTTATTTAAAAAAATAGGATTTGTATTATTTTTGTAGATATTTTAGTATGTCAAATTGCAGTTTTTACAATTTGTATTCGTTTAAATATTTGTGTAGGTATTCATTGAAAGAACTTAACTCCTAAATACCTCTACTTTTGCTTTTGTACAAAACTGTGTACTTCTTACTGTAATAGGTAATAATAAATGTGAGATTCTTAGTAATATTATAATTGAATAGGCACAATTGTACAAAAATAAACGAATAATTTAATTTATAGGTAATATTTACTAAATGTTTATTAATGCATTGATAAAATAAATCCCAATTAAATTTTTGGGATTATTTTTAAAATGCGTTTTGACGTTTTGCAAAATATTATTTGTGTTTATATGTGAGAGATATATCTAGATAAAGTGTAAAAAAATAATAATTTAATCTAAACAAAACTGTCCACATAATTTATTAATACATATCCCATTGAGTTTTTGTGATTATTTATAAATTGTAATGCCCGCCAAAATTCAACAACCGTACATTATAATTATTTGCAAATGTTTTGCTTAGAGTTGATTTGAATTTTCGAGGGTATTTCTATATTGTGATCTAAAATGAGTATGCACAGTTTTTTTAAACACTAGCAGACACTATAATGTATAGTTATAAATGTGCTTTAAACGCCATATTATAGAATAATTATTATTTCGAATTGCCAAAACTACCATCTCAACTCATATAGACAACACCCTTGTAATGGGTGATATTCTATATGTGTTAAAAATTTATCTAAATAATATATAGTATATAAAGAAAGTTTAAATAAAAATAATTAAAAAAATATTAACTAATATAATGGTTAATTTTTTGCTTGAAATATCTAATAACCAACAAATTGTAAGAATCAAAGATCACCAGTATGAAATATTAAGTTTTTTGTAGTGAAAAAAACGGCTAACAATCAGACTGATTTCCCAAACGATTTTCTTGTATAAATTGACTTACAAGTTATTTTCCAGTTTTCATGCTACTGATCTACAGATCTTATAAAGTATTATGTACTTAATGGCAATAAAATTAGTATTATACCGAGTGTTTAAAACCGTCAAAATTTAACAGGAAACATTTTTTTGTACAGTTATAAATGTATGAAATTGTGTTTTTTTTACCAGGGTTTATCAACTAATATTTTTTTTTATTAATTAAAATTTTTTGAATAATAAAAGTATAAATATTATTTTTATTGCTATTCAAAAGACAGCCATTTACTATACCTACCTACAATAATTTTACACATAGATTTGAAAAAAGTAATATATAATACTATTGCTCGAACAAACCCATGCAAGGTTGTCTTTTTTCATGAACATTCAAAGAATTTTTGGGAAAATATTTTTTGGGTTTTAATTTTTGGGGGGTCATTATTTCCTGTTGTCCCCCTTTGAACGTTCATGGTAGTTTGCGATACCATCCAATCAAATGTATAATAGTAATTGTTTCCTGTAAATATTTGTTGTTGAAGTTTTTCCTGTGCTGTATTTTTTGACGACCTTGTATGTTTGTTTTTAAGACGTGGATTAATTGCAAATCCAGTCCAGTAGGATTTAGGCATATCATATTTCAAATTTTCTGCTTGAATATTGTTAATCTTCTAATACTATTATATATTAAACACTTATCTTTTAGATTTTAGAGTAAACATAGGAACTATACTCAAATATTGTTATCATATTGTGGATATATCTTATATATCTTGTTGAGAATTAATATAATTATTAAATAAAATTGTTTTTCTTTGTTTGATTTCATTCATTACATTTGTAATTATATAATTTACCCATTTTACATTTATAAAGGGCTTCCGAAAATATTTTTGACATTTGCTGTTTATGGAGACATTTTTTACATTAAAAAAATCTATTTTCCAAGTGTCACAATAAATGCACATTAAACATTGCATTAATTAAAAAGAAAGAAATTGGTTTACTTTACATGAAAAAGAAAATTAAATACTGCAAATACTTACCGAGTAAATGCCGTGACGAAAGATAACCTTTAAAACACAAGCTGCTTGTTTGTAACGCGCAAAATAACAATAGCGATAAAATTGCCTGCATCGGCGCTATCTCTTGTCACAGTTATAAACAACACGGGTTAAAAAGTTATTTTATATGTAATGCTAAACTTCTGTGTAATTTATAACAAAGCTGTTTTATTTAGGCGGTTTGTGACGAAGTAGACATTAAATAGAAGGTGAAATTTGGTCAAGCTTAAAAAATTATTCACAGACATTTTATCACATTCTTTATTAGTACTTAGAAGCTACTTATTTGTTATTTCATTTTGGTTTTAGAATTCTGTTTCATACAAAACCTATGAAATATATCCAAGTTTTCACTATTGCAATATGATGGGGACATGGGGTTATACAGTGTGATGGAACTTTCAACCTTATTTTACACATTAAATATATTTTTATATTTAATTGAAAATTTTTCTATTTTAAGTTCATATTTATGAGTCTAGTTCAATTTATTTTTTTTAATAAGAAATGTTAGGGACAACTGACAAATGGCAGAGACCCTTAATAGTATAATGTACATTATATCATTGTATATCATTGATATCAGTCGATATTGCTTGTCGTTTGTCTAATTTTGTTTAGTTAGTGCATAATCGTCAATTATCCGCAATTATCCGCCTAAATATGTACAACAAATATCTAAAATAAGCTACTTAAAGACGTTACGAACTTACGAATTATTCGTTCCGAATCGAATAATAATTTTGGATTCGGAACTCGAATCGAATAATTCGAAAGTTCTCGAATAATTCAAAAAAATTTGAATAATTCGAAAAATTTCAAATAATTCGAATTTTTTTCGAATAATTCGAAATTTTTTAGAACTATTATATTATTAGCGAATTTTTAAATATTTTGAATTCAGGGTTTCTTATGTTCAATAATCAAATATGAATTTAACAGTCAATATACATTTTATTCAAACCATAATAGTTACACAAATAAAAAATAAATAAATAAACTATAATAGTTACACAAATAGAACAATAAGTATAGTTTTTTTTTGAAAGAGAATAAATTAACAGAAACTATATCATACAGTATTATGAAAAATACATTTGAAAATTTGCTTGAAATTTTGTGCAAAAATAATTAATACGATACTGAAACATTACATAAGTAACCTTTTTCTTATAGATTTTTTTTTCTCTGGGTAATTGATTTTTTAACGAAAAGTATATTATTCGTAAGTAGAATATTTCGATACACGATTTAAAGGAATTTAAATGGAAGCAATTGCAAATCCAGAGATATTTCATTATTTCGCGAATTATTTGAAAATTTTCGAGTTATTCGAAATTTTTCGAATTATTTGAAATTTTTCGAATAATTCGAAATTTTTCTGATTTTATAGAATTTCGAATAATTCGAAAATTCAAATAATTCGATTCGAATTTCGAATCAAACATCAATATTCGATTCGAACGATATTCGCCTTTTTACCAAAATCGTTTTAGATAACTTTATTGTAAGATATTTTTAACATAAGAATCTGAAAAAAATGCATACGCGATTTCCGGAATATTTTCCCATTTCCATAAGGTATTTCTCCGTTCTGGACGCACTGTAAATGAAACTCTATTTAATGAGTAAGATTTCAATATACTTTTATTGGCTGATGTATTCTCAAAAAAAAAACATTTTTACAAATAAGTTGTTTTTAACAAAGAAAATAACAGCAAATAAAATCATAAAAAACAATTTAAAAACTTAAATAACTTTATTCACCTAACAATAATAAATTTATTCATCTTCGACCTCAGGTTCAGGTTCCTCCCTCTTGGGTCGTCTATATTGAACACATTCAGGGTACTTATCAGCTAGGAAACTCCTAATTTCGCCATACTCTGCAATTAGGCTCTTTTTCACGTCACTTTGGTTTCTCAATTTTTCTTGTTTCCTCAAATAAAGTTCATAGGACTTGTACTTGGTGTAAAATGGAGGGTGCCTCTTTTTCTTGTACACTACTTTTCCATTAAAGCAGTATTGATGGTAATCAATGATTTCATCCTTTGAAATGTCTTCAGCTTTTTTCACTTCCTTTGGAGAGGCTATTACAGTTGGGAAAAAGTCGTTTTCTTTGCAGATTTCTACCAAGTGGAGGCCTTTTTCTTCTGCAATTTCTTCATGAGTTTTCTAAAATTTATTTTTAAGTTAAAAAACATACATTTAAAGGAAAGGAAAGCAAAAACAAACTTGTCTGGTGAGTCCAAGGAAAAACGCCTTAATAATATGATTTACATTGGTAGATCCCTCAACTTTAGCATAAAGATTTTTTATGCCAATCACTTCACACATTGTTTTTATGGCTCTATGACACACCAATCCATATCCTTCAGGTTTTTGGCTTACATAAATTTTAGTTTGTCCGAATTGTGTAAAGAAATCATGAAAAACTAAAACAAATTCATTGTAAATGTGAGGTCAAAAATTTCACTAGCTTTTTTATGCTATGATATTTGACTTTCAAAAACATTTTTAAAATGTGTTTTTTGCACCTTTAAGGGAAAAAAATTCATGTTTAATTTAGTTATTTGGTGGTTGGCACCACATATATTTATCTAAATATGTGGCTTTTCCTATTTGATATGCAATTGAATAGCCAATGAAACCTTATTTGGAATTAGAATACATTTGTCAAGGTCTTTTTAAATTATTCAAATATTACATCAGTTAGGTATCAATAATTATTTTATAACTTAATTTAATTTATTTCCACACAAAAGAGGATAATTTAAATAATTAAAGAAAGTTAAGTAACATAAAAAATATTCCAACGCATTTTATTTTGTAGTAAATTTTAATCAATCTTTGGTAAGAGAACTTAACAAATATTGTAGGAAATAGGGAATTGTATTTTAAAAGGTCTGCAACATAGCCTTTTTGTCCTTAATTCTTAAATATAGTTAACATTTTAAAATCATTTTAATAAAATGTGTTTTCTTATTCTTAATATTTTAATTCTTTTTATTCCTAAATTTGGTTTTAACATTTTTAATTACGGTGTTGGCATACCCATACATTCAAATACTAAGTTTGTCATTTTTAAAAATTATTCGACATTCTTAGTTTTTTTATATAGTTTTATAATAATAATATGGTATTGACATTTTAAAATGCTTTTTTCTACTCCCACCTTTAAAACGCCCTTAATCGTACATGTTTCCATGACACTAAGTGCCTTTTATATACACATTGACAAGTTGTGGCTTTACGGCGCTTTAGTCACGGGCTGAAGTTAGCAACAGGTTTTTAGTCACGGGCTGAAGTTAGTTTTAAGTAGTTGACAGTTGTCAAATGTCATACAACCGTTAAAATAAAGTGCCTTTATGTAAAATAATACTAAATGTGAAAATTATTTTATTATCTCAATACAAAAATACAAAAATATTAAGTACACTGAAAAAAAAGTTTATTGCTCCCATATTTAAATATGGGACAAGGGTACAGTTTATTTATCCTAAATATATTTTTATTCCCGACACATAAAGTTTTACTAAAGTATATTTATCGTTATTATTTCGACTATTTAGAGGTAATAAACAATATATTCACTATTAATAAAAGTATTAGATACACAGTTTATTTGTCCCATTTTTTTCTCAGTGTAGTTTCTCAACGCCAATATTTGAAAAGTTTATATGAACATTGTACTGACCTTTTAATTTCGCCTGCAGTAAACTATAAATTAAATTCGGGTCGGACTCTACTGTAAAGTCCTCATAAAACATTTCCTTTACTTTCACTGTGAAAAACTGTAAATTTTCAAGATACATTTCGACCTTTATAATTGTGTTTATAAAATGTAAAAATGTGACATTTGACAGTTTCCCCTGTTGTTTCATAGATGACGCTCTATACTAATTTTTGATTTAAGTATTCGTCGTAGAAAAAGTATAGTATGCACCTCGTTTATAAACTTCATTCAACACTCATTAACTTAAGCACTCGCTCGCAAGCTCGCTTCGTGTATAAAATGGCGTTTATCAAACTTGATACTATTTTATATTCTTTAATGTTTTTTTAATTATGGCTTTGTTATTTTAAAGAGAGTTTAATTTAATACGATTTTTAAATTTTAAAACATTCATATTATGGTTTTGACATTTTAAAGTAGGTCTGGCATTTTTAAATAAGGTTTAGACATTTTAAAGTGTTTTCCTTATAAATGTTTTTTCATGACACGCAGCGAAAATTCGAATTTTGTTACCTTTTGATGCAAAATTAGCAAGTTTCTGGGGAAAGCAGACGAATCAACTTTCGCAGCTGCAGCCGATATTTTTCGCCACTTTCTTTAATTGTATTAAGTTTGTACAACTAAATTTTTGTTTATGCTGTAACTTCACTATGCTCAAGTTCTTATGTTCTGTGGCTCCGTTCAAAAATGTTTAAAAACTAGTAAATTTTAACGATTTTTTTCTCGCTATCTCTTAAAAAATAGTGTACATATCTTGTAGCGAAAGGCGAAGATTTCTAGAAAGCCACTTGTTAGGTAATTTACTATTATTATCCTAAATTATTTTGACATTTTTTATTTTGTTTAGACATTCTTTATTATGGTTTTGACATTTTGAAGTAGGTTTGAAGTTTTGAATATGGTTTTAATTTTGTGTTTTTACATGTTTTGACTTTCTTAAATTTGATTTTGACATTTTAAAGTAGGCGTGACATTTTAAAGTAAGTTTGACATTTTAAAATTATAAAATGACTTGAATTTTTATAGTATGTTAAATATGGTTTTGTCACTTTTAAAATGTGTTTTTGACCATCGTACACACTTACTCCATAGTAAAATGCTCCCAAAATGTTTGTACACACCCTCTGTAATTGTATGTATTGTAAATTTCTAGTATAGTAAGTTTTGACATTCCAAAATATGGTTTTGACATTAAATTTTTTAACATTTCTTTATAAATATTAAAACAATTATATTTACTTACCTGTGTGATTCTTATAAATCTTAATATGCATTAACTTTTGGGCAGACCTATTCTTAGCCTTTCTTAATGCTGTTTTAGGTTCTAAACCTTTACCCATAGCAAATCCAGCCATACCATTAGAATTCCCAGTTACTACAATAACAGACAACCTCCTTTTCCTCCCAAAATTGCCCTTCATATTAAACACAGTTTTTAACTCCAAAACTTTAGTGTCAAACCCGTCAAAAGTATCCTCCCCTATTGGATCTGGGGGCCCAATACTCCTACCAGGCATTTTAGTACCCGACCAACCTCTTTCAATCGGACTCAATTTGGCATACTTAAAAGTCCCCATTTTATCCCTCAATTCGATCAATTTTTTCTGTCTTTCAGGATCCTCAGGTAGCTGGTGCTGTGTGACTAATTCTTTGCCTCTTATGATAGGTGCCGATAAACCAGGCCATACTATATTTGCTTTACCGACTCCAATTACTTGACCCCTGTTTAAATCCTTGATGTTCTTTTTCGACACGTTTTTACCACGACCACGTTTTTTACCGGCATTACTTACAGAAGTTATTCCCTTCCACAAATCATGAGCAGGCACTAAAATCATAATTTTGTTCCAATTGAGGATTAGTGAGGTTATGTTTTCTTACGTTTATTGAAGAAGTTCGTGTTTCTTGTTGAATTTGTCAGGATAACTTCTTTATGGATTACATTTTCGTTTACGTTCTTTATTAATGCAGGTGCAATTCTACATTTCGAGTTAATCGTTAGTTTTTGAAGGATTTTGGTCACATTTAAAAGTTGCACAGCCATTTTACATTTTCGATTGCGATGTTGCCGCGCACACAATTTTTTTTGTAAAAAATTGGTTTTCACACTGCATTATATTTTGAATATTTACAATTTTATTTGAATATTTACAATTTTTTCAGTTATTTTCATGATGTATTAAAAATTATTATCAAAACTTAAAATGTGCCATTCTGTCCCTTTCCCCAGGAACTTTATGTTAAAATGTTTTTTTTTTATTAAATAATACTATTTTTTAATTTTTTTCAAAGCCTACTTTTTTAATTTACCATTTGACTAAAGTGATTCACAGGGACCCGGACCGGACCGTTTTTGGACAGAAAACCGGACCGAAACCGGTATATATTTGTGGACCGGAACCGTAACCGAACCCATTTTATTTTTAAATGCAAGTCTAGAGACGGGGCCGAGGATGGCGCAGTGCGTTAAAGCTACAGAGCGGTAATCAATCTGCGCCACGGTACCGGGTTCGATTCCCGGTCACACCCTTGGGTGTTGTGGTTGTTTTTAAGAGCAAAAAAATATATAATAATGAGCTGGCTAAATAGTCGAAAAGACTAAAAGCCAATAAACCTGAAAAAAAAAGTCTAGAGACCGAACCCAATAATTTTTGATTATTTTGGCAACAATGCAAAACAACTATGACTAACATCATGTCAACGACATGTTAGTGAAATTGCCTACAGATGGCAGCATCGAAGTATGTGAAAAATGTCCATACAAGTAATTGAAAGACGCGCCATTTTGTAAGAAATGAACGACCATCTTTTATATGTGGGGCAAAATTTGCCAAGTGTACCAGGTGAAAAAAATTTTGTCACCGATTTTGTTTAAACTTTACTTATTTGTTGTTCTTATAACGAAGAATCATAGCATAAAATTTTTTTGCTCTAGGATTGTTCATCCAAGAGTTATGGATTATTGAAATTTATCGATTTATTACTTTTTGGTGAAATCGCTTTTTATTTAAAAATTCATAACTTCTGTTCATCTCTTTATTAAATATTTCAATTTAACCACCTTAAATGATTTTTTCCGAACTTTTCAATGGGCTATACCGTTTTTGCAAAAAAAATTGCAATTTTTTTGGGAAATTTTGCAATATTTTGCATTTTTTTAAACAATGTGTATTTTTTAAAATAGCATAAAATCCTTGGAATAAAAAAAAATTTTAGAGTGGGCCCGACATGTAGAAGGGAAGAATTTGAATGCGTGCGGGTCTAGCCATCGAATAGCTACTACACTGCCGTATGCCTTTATACCTATAGGTATAAACGCATACGGCAGTGTACTATAGTAGATGCGAGTAAACGAATACAAAATGATAATTTAAAATGTAAAATTATGTTGCCAATCGGCAGATTAAAATATGATTTGTAGATTTCGTAATTCGGAGGATTTTTGGCGGATTACTAGAATTATGTTAATTTTTATTTTTGTGGCTAAAGTAAAATACAGAAAGAATAAAGTGTTGGTGTTGTTTTTCTTCAATTTTTCGCCCTACATACTTTTAAATTAAATTAAAAAAATCATATTTTAATCTGCTGATTGGCAACACAAATATTCTGACTGACCGTTACGGTTTAAAAAGAAAGTACCTAATGTCCGTACGGCGAATATTTAGAGCTCGTCATGACAGCATAAACCGTTTATAGATATTATATATTATTAGCACCATTGATCTATTCAGCTTATAGGCAAGCCGTTACGGTTATAACAATAAATTTTTTATTTAATATCATCGATCCTCCTTGCGAAATCTATGTAGACCCATGCTTAAACAATTTGTGCAAAAAATACAGTTAAAAAACTATATCGTGCGGCAGTGTAAATATTTAAAATATATCATTGAATACTCAAACATAATTTTACATTTTAAATTATCATTTTGTATTCGTTTACTTCGTATAAACTCATACGGCCGTCTAGTAGCTATTCGATGGCTAGACCCGCACGCATTCAAATATGAAAAACTTCCCTTCTACATCTCGGGCCCACTCTAATTTTTTTTTATTCAAAGGTAACATAATAACTTCAATTTTATGCTATTTTAAAAAAATTAAAAAATACACATTGTTTAAAAAAATGCAAAATATTGTAAAATTTCAAAAAAAAATTGCAAATTTTTTTTTTGCAAAAACGGTGTAGCCCATTGAAAAGTACGAAAAAAATCATTTAAGGTGGTTAAATTGAAATATTTAATAAAAAGATGAACTTCTGTTCATCTTTTTATTAAATATTTTTAAATAAAAAGCGATTTCACCAAAAAGTAATAAATCGATAAATTTCAATAATCCATAACTCTTGAATGAACAATCCTAGAGCAAAAAATTTTTATGCTATTATTCTTCGTTATAAGAACAACAAATAAGTTAAGTTTAAACAAAATCGGTGACAAAAATTTTTTCACCTGGTACACTTGGCAAATTTTGCCCCATGTGCTTCTTTGGGGTTTCTAAGCCATTCTCTATGTTCAAACTTGGTTAAAATGGGACGAAAAACAACTAACCCAACCCATCAAAAAGAAGAACAAAAGCTCTAAGTTTAGTTTTTTTATTTTTATATAACTTATTTTAATTATAAATTTTCTAGTTTCTCAATCACAAGATCAGAAGAAAAAAATAAAGAAAGCCAGCCGATCGATAATAAAAATAAAGAAGAGAATGAAGACCCTAAAATTAGAGAACCTCATTTAAAAAATAAGAAGAGACAAAGTAATACTTTCTTTAATTACTGACCAAAAAAAATAAAAAAAATTAATAAACTTTTCATTTTATAATTTAAGTACTTATTTACACCTAGTAAAAAAACCGAACCGAAAAAAACCGTATGGACCGAAAAGATTGGTCCGGACCGGACAGAAATATTTTTTTTGGAACCGTAACTGAACCTGAACCGAAATTTGTCGTTTCTCTCGGAACCGGACCGGAACCGTTATTTCATTTGGGTCCGGGTCCCTTTAAGTGAACACATCAAAAATGTCGAAATCCGGGACAAAGCCAAAAAAATCGGCCAAAAGCGGAAACGTCTGCCGCGGACGGTCCGCGGCATGCGCATGTAGCCGAACCGCGTGCACACTATTTTCCGGACACCCTGTAGGTATATTAATTTGTTCATCTAAATTTAGGTGAGCTGGCAACACTGCAGGTTTAATGAACTACCTTATTTATTTTTTAGATATACAATTTAATAAAAACACACCTTTTCTTGGATGCTTTTCATAAAATTTCTAACTAAAAATACCTTATTTACAAAAATATATTTACGTATTTCCTTGTAACAAGTTGGTATACCAACTGGCAACATTTTTGAAAGTAGTTCAAGTGCACTAACCTAAAAATTGTCCTGTAACCCGATAAATATCGGAATAATACAGCCAAATGGCCACATTAATTAAAGATGTTAAATTGGAAAACGTTCCCACAGAAGTACTCTTCGATAAACACAAAGAATTCCTGCAAAGTTATGAAAAAGACGAAAACAATTATGAATACGGTATGACGGACTATTTACGAATATCGGGGATGTACTGGGGCCTTACGGCGTTAGAATTGATGAGTATTAACACTAAAAATCAAAAAGTGATAGATTTTATAGTAAAATGTCAGGACCCTGAGTCGGGTGGTATCAGTGGGTGCATCGATCATGACCCCCATATGCTACACACGTTAAGTGCGGTGCAAATCTTGGTTACAATGGATGAAGTAAATGCCATAGACGTAGAGGGGGTTGTAAAGTACGTTGTGAGTAACCAACAGGAAGATGGGAGTTTTACAGGGGATAAATGGGGGGAAGTTGACACACGGTTTTCTTTTACCGCTGTTGCAACATTGGCTTTATTAAATCGTTTGGATGCCATTGATGTTAAGAAGGCTGTTGAGTTTGTACAGTCGTGTATGAATTTTGATGGCGGTTTTGGCTCCAGGCCTTTATCGGAGAGTCATGCAGGACTTATTTATTGCTGTTTGGGGTTTTTGTCCATTACAAATAGGTAACTATTATCATCTGGTGGTTAATAATTATTATAAAATCGTTTTATAGTACAAAAAACACTATTTTGATTGAAAGAGGAATGACAACAAAATTTGGGATAAAAATTATTTAGGTCGTTATTTTTGCTTATTATATTTATTTTTAGTCTTCATATTGTTGAACAAGACACTCTGGCATGGTGGTTATGTGAGAGGCAGCTTTCATCGGGTGGGCTTAATGGCAGACCAGAAAAACTCCCAGACGTATGTTACTCTTGGTGGGTTTTATCATCTTTATCAATCTTGGGAAGAATACACTGGATAAATCACTCTGCAATCCAAAATTACATAAAAGCATGCCAAGATGTTGAAACTGGGGGCTTTTCCGACAGACCTGGAAATGTCACTGATCCTTATCACACATTATTTGGCCTGGCAGGGTTAGGTTTATTAGGCGACGAAAGAATCATAAAAGTTAATCCCACATTTTGTATGCCTCAGGCTGTTATAGATAAGTTAGGATTAAAACCACAAATATTATCTTAAGTTTTGTATTTTTTCCACTTTTATTTAATTTTAATATAAACAACCAAATAAATGTACAAATAAATCCCAAGACGTTTTTAATTCCCAAATAAACAAATTGCGAAATATTTTAATGTCGAATGCCCCTCGTACATCAAACAGGGTTGCCAAGTTTGCACCACGAAAACATTCTAACCTTAAAATAATCTTCGCTTTAGAAAATGCTTTTAAATTTGTAGACTTGATGGCTGGTATAGAAGATATACAAACACAAAAGTCGTTTAAGTATTTGGAAGAAGTTGAAACATTAGCTCAAGACATTTTACTGTTAAAAGAAACAAAATTAAATATTGCCAACGCGCAAAATAAATTCAGGGAAGGTTTAAGAGCTTTAGAAAACACAGAAGACCGTAGAACTTGGATGCAGGTCGGTAAAGTTTTTGTAGAACGTCCCACAGAAGAGTGTAAAATAATATTGAGGCAAGAAATTGGTAAAGCTGAAGACGATTTAAAGGATCTACACGAGAAAATTAAATATAGCGTTTACAAATTAAGAGATTTGGAACATGAGCCTAGATTAGAAGGGTTTACATTAAAGCCCATTTCATCTGCAGAAGCAAAGGCATTGCACAAAGGATTAGGTTTGGTGTAATAATTATTCTTATCTATAAGTAAAACTGGCAACACAGCTGGTACTTACAGGATTAATCTAAGGATTTTTTAATTGTATTTGTTAAATTTAATTCAGTCCATCTTCAACTTTAACCATGGTTAAAACAGCAACAGGTTTTGTGATATTTCGGACAATTTCAAACAAAATTGAATATTTGTTGCTACAAACTTCATATGGAGTAAATCACTGGACTCCACCAAAAGGTTCTTATTAAAATTGTCAAAGTTAACTTCCCTTATTTATAATTCTTTCTTCTAGGTCACATGGACCCTGGTGAGACTGAAATGCAAACAGCCTACAGAGAAACAAATGAAGAATCGGGCTTAAAACCAGATGATTACAAGGTTTACGAAGATTGCAAACAAACCCTAAATTACGATGTTAAAGGAAAACCAAAAATTGTTATTTACTGGCTAGCAAAACTCGTTAACGATAAAGCTGAAGTTAAATTGTCCCACGAACACATAGCATACAAATGGTTAACATTACAGGATGCCTGCCAAGTTGTAGAGTATGAAGAAACAAGAACTCTGATGAAAAATTGCGAAGAATACATTAAAAGTCATAATTTAGCCTAATTAAGGCTCAATAAAAAATGTTTTATTTAAAATATTAAGTTTTACTTAAAAAAAACCTCAAATAAGCCCTAAATGTTAAAGTCTTTGGAACAACTCTTCATAACAGTTTCTACGCTTAGAACGTCGTTTAATTAATCCAGCAGTGCCAACGTAAGGACAATAAAAATTAATAATAAATATATGAAATTTGGGACAATACCCTTGTAAAACATGAAAATATTGATAAACGTGTTTTATTTATCAATAAAGTATAAAAAAATATATTGAAAACGTAATATTTTTTGTATATTTTGTTAACTTTTCAACAATAACATTAGTGTGAATCGACCATTACGCTATTTCTGTTGCATGATTCACAATTTTTGACAGGTGTTGTAGTTAACTGTCACATTCTACGTATTCATTGGATTTTTATCGTGCAAAATTTTAATCGGGTGTTGTTTGTGCATTAAAACCTAAAAATGAGTTTCTTCGGGAAATTATTCGGTGGTAGCAAAGAAAAAGCGGCCCCAACGACTGGCGAGGCCATCCAGAAGTTGAGGGAAACTGAAGATATGTTGTTCAAGAAACAGGACTTTTTGGAGAAGAAAATTCAGCAAGAAATAGTGACGGCGAAGGCTAATGCCTCAAAAAATAAAAGAGGTACGGGTTTATAACCATTAAAAAGGACGTCATTAAAAACAATGTGTTTTCTTTGTTTATAGCTGCTATTCAGGCGCTCAAAAGGAAGAAACGTTACGAGAAACAGTTAACACAAATAGATGGAACCCTTACAACAATCGAAATGCAGAGGGAGGCCCTCGAAGGGGCCAATACTAATACTGCTGTTTTGACCACAATGGCCAATGCTGCTGAGGCTATGAAACATGCTCACAAATTTATGTATGTCTATTATTAACGCTTAATCAATTTATTCAACATTTCTTTTTTTAGGGATGTAGACCAAGTACATGACATGATGGATGATATTGCAGAACAGCAAGATTTGTCCAATGAAATCTCAAATGCCATCAGTAATCCAGTTGGGTTTGGTGACGATATGGACGAAGATGAGCTGGAGAAAGAGTTGGAAGATTTGGAACAAGAAGATTTGGAGAACAAACTTATTGAAGTGCCTGGTGCCAAAGATTTACCAGCCGTTCCTGAAGAGCCTGTGGCTGTCAAGCCTAAACCACAAGCCAGTAAGTAAAATTTTTATGAGAAAAAAATATATGAAACAATTTACTTTTTCAGAAAAAGCTGAAGATGACGATGATATGAAGGAATTAGAGGCATGGGCATCCTAAGGATTTAAATGAATATAATAAATTTTCAAAAAATACCATTCTTGAAATTGCTACATATAGGCACTTTATTAGGTAGTAAGGTAATTATACAAAAATAATTATATTTTTATTAGTTACTGTAACTTGACTTTTACAAAAGTTATTTTTTTGTATAATTACCAGGAAAACTATAAAAATAAAAATAATAAAATATAATTCACAGCCTTAATGTCATGGCTTTGGTTATTTGCTTTATAATATTTATACATAGTATCATGTAAATAATTAAGTAAGTTTTTTTTATGTATAGGTAACAATTTAATTATAATTATTATTTTGGTAGATTCCAAATTAATTAAATCTTATATTTACATAATTGTTGTTATCATTTTACTCACCTTTAAAATGGTCTATTTTAACCAATTAGTAATTACTTTTAAGAATATGCTTTTTTATAACAAGGCCCCATTACTTTCATTAAAATTACCATTTTTTATACTTTGAACATTGTATTTCCTTGAGTCACCTTAGTTTAATTTAATTTTAGTGACCTTGTATTTTTATGAGTTCATAATCTTGATGAAAATTTTAAATAATATTAAACTGAACTAATAATACTTTACAATTGTGTCCTTTGATTTTTTAATAATAAAAAATATATTTTTGAAAGAAAAATATTTTTATTTATGTAAAAGGATTGATTTCTTGCAAAGATAAAAGAATAAAAAGTTAAATTTGTAAAAAAACTAAAACTAAACCCTGGGCTACCTTATTTGAACCTATAATGTAGTGTTTTTCTTTTTTTGAATTATTTTACCAAAAAAGTGACTTTTCTGGATGAGTCTAATTTAAATGGCCAAGGCCAGAAAGAAGACAAGGACAAAATAACACTGTTTGGCAGTGGTGCCCCCAGAATTTTTTAGGCAATCTTCATTATAAATTTATTAATGACTAATAGTAGAGGATCCCAAGTAAGGTCGACCTTCACCCATCTGCTTACCAGATGAAAATTATATTTTATCAAATAAAATATGTTTCTGAACATAAACCAATAGGGTTGCCATAAAAAATATGATCATGGCTATAATAAATAAAAAATTAAAAAAAATAATTTATTTTTTAAATTTCACCGACTTGCTTGCCAAATGAACGAAATTCGAATGGAAAGCATACAACATACAGAATATGTAACAGCTAGGTTGCCTACCTTTTTCTGGTCCCTATTACCTGGTTGCTTTGTATAGGGTGATCCCCTATAATGTCGCCCCCCTTTAACTTTTTTATTTTAAGTGTCCCAGAAAATTTAAAAGTTTGGTTATGTAGATACTAAAAAATACTTTTTTTCTACGTATAAAGAAAATTGGAAAATTGATCAGTATACAGGGAAAAACAAAAAGTTTATTTTTTTTCAATGGATCACCGTATATATGAATTTATTTTTCGATTCCTTGTAAAATTCTGAGCATAATTTATATAACAAACCATATAAGGTAAGTGCGGGTAATAAGGCCCAGCAGGTAATAAGGCCCGGCAGCCATTTTACCTTCATTTTTTAAATTATAATACTGGGGCTGCCATCTTATGATTTTACTAGGTAATATTTGATATTCGATAGAGTTCCGCCTTAATAAGATGTCGTTTGCTGATAGTAAATACAATTGTATTTACTATCAGCAAACAAGTGTTTCGACAACAAGTTTCTTTCGTGAAATTATAAAAATTGTGGTATTTTCCTAGAGCTGTGCCTAAAAAGCGTTTATTCAATTGCTGCGCCATTACAGGTATGTATCAATACACATATTATAATAATAATTGGTATACCAATGTTTTCCTAGAAAATGATTGGTTTTGTACTATGCATGTCTGAGTTATATCCTTAAAACAAGGAGCATTACAAAGCAGGCAATAAGGCCCACCAAATAATGAAACTGGGAAGAAACCCCAAAAGGCCATGGCCGCTGCAGCGGCTCGGCAACAAAATGCAAGAAGAAAGCGAAGATCAGTCAAACGAAGGCCACTGTAGAACCATCGACCTCGACAGAAAGCGCAGACGCCAACCCCGAGCAAGATTGGTTCTGCAAGCTTTGTGAACTGGATTTTAAGGCTGATATGCGTCAGTGTGCCATGTGCCTCACCTGGTGTTCGTTGCGTTGAGTATGTTGAGTATGTTGCGCGATTAAAAGATGGTTTAACAAAAAACAAAACTTTATTTTAACATGGTTGTGTATATGACTAAGTTTAAAATCTTAATGTTAAAATACTAAAATCTAGGTATAAAATACCAAAAAGGGGAGGGCGTTGCAGCCACTTGATGGCTAATATCTTCCAGATGTCCTAGCAGAATTGATTCTCCCTTTTCTTGGTAATTGCCTTTACTTGTAAATATTATGCACTTGTTAAACAGATAATTTATAATATATGGGCCAAGCGTAAACATGCCCCCGGCCTTGGCAAGTATTGCCAAAAAAAAACAAACAAAAAACAAAGAAAAATACATTGATATGGCAATACCCTTTACATATAAATACTATCTAATAATATCATATTATGACAATGCAAATGAAGTAGCAGAATATCTCAATTGGTGCATTATAAATTCGTTAAATATATAAGTATAAGTAAAATATAATTTGTAAAAATGACTGCCTTTTAATTTTAAACATGCTATAATCGAACATATAAATTTTAAGCCTAACTACCTAATACTAACTTATATTATGTCTACATGAGTTCAATATATTTAGTTTGTTCACTGCTTTTAACTATTCTCTACGTCGTCGTTTAAGGGCAACGGACATATTTTAGAAAAAGATCGTGTTACGACACCACTAGAAGTTTTAATTTTAAAAACACGTGCTACACCATCGCGACCACAAATCACTTCAATGATGCGACCAAGTTTCCACCTCATGGGTGGCAAATTGTCCTCTTTGATTAAAACTAGGTGGCCTTCGTCAACCTTATCTCCTTTAGTAGATACCCATTTGGTTCTTTTCTGTAACTCGGAAATATACTCTTTGTTCCAGCGTTCCCACATATGTTGTGATAGCTGTTGTGTCAGCTGATAGCGTGTAAGTCGATTTATCGGGATGCTTGTGAATTGTTTTTCGCCTGTTGTGGTTATTGGACGACCAATAAGAAAATGCGCTGGGGTTAAAGCTGTGTAATCATTGGGATCGGCTGACAGCGGCGTCAATGGGCGCGAATTTATTATTGCCTCAATTTGGGTTAATAACGAATAAAATTCTTCATAAGTAAGGTGTGCATTTGATATAACTCTTTTGAGATGATGTTTAATTAATTTAACTCCTGCCTCCCAAAGACCGCCAAAATGTGGCGAATAAGGAGCTGAGAATTTCCATTCTATCTCGTCTTTAGACAATGAATTAACGATACTAGACTTATTTAATTTAAGAAATGAGCTAAGTTCTTTAAAATCCGCACTTGCAGAGACAAAATTCTTACCATTGTCCGAGAAAATTTGTCGGGGTTTTCCCCTACGTGACATAAATCGTTTTAGTGCTAACAAAAATGTTTCCTTGGATAAATCCGTAACAACTTCAATATGTACCGCCTTAGTACTAAAACAAACAAATATGCAAATGTAGCCTTTGATTAGTTTACAACCGCGACCCTTTCGGTCTCGGAGTAAGTACGGACCTGCGTAGTCAACGCCGCTTACTACAAATGGTGGCCCGGGCAATAGTCGCTGTGCGGGTAAATTTCCCATAATGGGCTGTATACCCTTTGGTTTAGCTCGAAAACAAACCGTGCAATTATGAACTGTGCGGCGGGCTAGGTCCCTTCCCCCTATTGGCCAGTGACTTTCTCGAATATCTGCTAAGAGGTGTTGCGGCCCGGCATGAAATAATTTTTGATAATGAAAATAATGAAAAATAAGCCTTGTAAGCGGGTGATTAGATGCAATTATACTTGGATGTCGTTTTTCGTAAGAAAACTGAGAATTTTGCAAGCGACCCCCCACGCGAAGAATACCTTCTCTGTCAACAAATGGAGATAAATTTTTTAATTTGCTTGAGTTTTTAACAGGGGAATTATTCGTTAATGGTTGTATTTCTTCGTAAAATGTTTTTACTTTAGGATTTGAATTAAGTTTTTTCTCTAAATTAAAATATCGATTTCGTGATAGATAGGAATTACCTAATTTTTCGGGGTGGTTATTAAAAGGAAGGGCTACTATAAATCTACCCGTGGAGTCTCGTCGAGTAGTACTATGAAAATGCTGTTCGCAGGCAATCTCTTCTTTGGATAAAATTTGCCTTTCGGCAATTTCCTCTAATTCCCAAATCGCGCTAACTGATTTTGAATTTGAGTTTCGGCAGATGAAGTTAAAAAATTGCACTTTACTTCGTTGCGCGCTGGAAATGGTACAAAGTACGGCCCTGCTATAACCCAACCGAATAATGTTTGGTGCATTATTGGTTTGTTTTTACCTAGACTAAAGGTGTTTTGACCCACAAGGCTCCAAAACAGGTCACTTCCGATAAGGATGTCGATTTTTTGGGGTTTAGCAAACATGTGGTCTGCCAACGGCAAGTTCTCTGGGATGTTTAAATTTTTTGTATTTAAGGGCGCAGACGGTAGATGACCCGAAATCTGGGGAACAATGAAGCACTGTAGTTGTGCACAAAAATCGTTTATTTTAGATGATAATTTTAAATTGCACCTTTCCTCTAATTTGCGTGAAATATTTGTTATGCCGGACACTGTCCAATCAACCTGCTCGGTTGCAATACCTAATTTATTATGCAATTCAGCAGATAAAAATGAACTTTGTGAGCCGGAATCCAGAAGTGCTCTGGCTGTATGCATTTTATTGTATCTGTCATAAACGTTTATTAGAGCGGTTGGTAAGATTACCTGGAATTGTACCGTGTTGTTAGAGAATGAACAATTTGTTAACGAAGTAGATGGCTCGATTGGGGTTAAAACGACAGGATTAGAGGTAGTTTCACGTGAGCGATCATTGCCTTGAACGCGATTAATATGTAATAATGTGTGATGCCGCCCGTTACATGTCTTACAAGAAATAATGTGACGACAATTTCGGCTGTCGTGGCCAAGTTTCAAACAATTAACGCATAAATGCGCATTTTTTGCCTTTTCGCATCTTTCACTCGGTAATGAATTCATGAAATCCTTGCAATTATATATTATATGGGAATTTTTGCATATGGGACAAACCAAGCCTTGAGGTGCATTGTTAAAATTCTT